GAGTGTGCGCCGGTGCTTGATGTGTATCTCCACCTGACGCTTGACGTTGCACTGAAGATGAATGCGCACCAAAGGGCCCTCGAAGTATGTCCTGTCGACTGGTGCCTGCGATATCCTCCAAATTCCAGAGATCAACAGAACTTCGCGGTGGCTGCTGTTGCTGCTCTTGCTGGCGCGCACCGCCGTCTGCTGCCTCCTCCGGTACTTGTGACGGCGTTGTATAATCCGTGCCTTGAAACGAAACGGAAGCAACTAGGGGCCAGTGCTGTTGCTGTTGTTGTTGTTGCTGCTGCTGCAGCTGCTGATGCACACTGCGATCTGCTGCTTTCGCTGGTGCAGGTGTTGGCACAGACGCGGTGGAACTCCAGCCTCGAAACAACTCCATCGTCTCTGCGTCGTCTTCACTGTCGCTGCCTTTGTCTTCCCCTTGTTCGTGCGAATCCAACAGACTGGAGCTTTTCCTGGGACTCAGAAGAGAGGTGGCATCTGCCGCGGTCCCAGACGGTCCTACCGAGGCGCGCGAAGGACCCGCTTGAGCCTCGTCGAACCCCGAAACGTACATCGAAGGATGCTGCTCCTGCGGCGGCAGGAAGACTTTAAACTCCCAAGCTCCTCCCGGTTGCTGTTCCTGAATGTACGGCCTCCACGGTTCCCCTGGGGGCTTCTCCGGCTGAAGGAGAGGGCTCGAACGCCACCGATGCTGCTGTTGCTGTTGCGGAGACGGCCCTGCTTGCTGCCAAAGTCGAACGGAGCCCTGCCAAGCCTGCTCTTGCAGCTGCTGCTGGTGCGCCTGTCTCCGTGCCTTAGCGTCTGATGCTTCGGTATCTAGCCCTTCTGCCGCTTCTACCATTGGCGTTTGTGTTGCTGCTGATGTGCCTTCTTGTGGGGATTCGAGCGGTGCAACAGGAGATTGTTGCTGCCGCGGTTGGTGCTCCTGCAGAGCATGCTCTTGCTGCTGCTGCCCGTGCGAAATTTGGTGCTCGGGAAGTTGCTGTCCGAGCTCCGGGCCGACGAGTTGCTGAGGCACGGTTGCATCCTCTGCTCCCGCCGCCGCAACAGCAGCAGCCCGTGCCCTCCTTGCGGCTCTGTTGACGCACTCTGCCTTCTTCCAACCATACCCGGCACTATATTTCTGTTTAGCGAAGCGAGTATCAGCCTCCCTCAAAATAATGCCGGGAGTAACGTTGCTCTGGAGCTGCTGCAGCGCCTGTGCAGCAGCGTTTTCGGATAGTGCCTGCAGCAGCCTCTGCTCGGTGACGGCATTCATAACAGCGGCTTGTGCTGCGAATACAGCGGGTGGAACAACCGGTGGATCTCCTTGGAGGCTCTGCAGGAGCGTATTGACGGCAGCAGCCATATGCCGCAAAGCCGCACCCGCTGGACGAAGAATTTGCTCAGCTGTATGCGCTCTGCTCCGCGCCCGAGCGACAGGAAAGGACCTCTTCTCCCGAAGCAGAGTCAAAGCATTTATCAGACTGTCCAGGGGTGTAACCGCTTCCTGCTGCGCTCTCGGACAGCCCCCCAACCACCAAGCAAGATGGAAGAACGACTGGATGACCGACTGCCGCTGTCCTTCCTGGTCGCCCGTGCAATAAGGCGTCAATGCAGCAATCTCCACTACCGCATAGCGCACCACGTGCTGCGCTACAGTGAGAACATGATGCAGAGGAAGTTCGCCGAGGTAATCCCTGCAGTAAGCAGCAAACTCGCAAAGGCGAGTCACATAAAGATCAAAAAAGGGAGGACGCGGTATCGCCTTCTTCACCCCTGTTGGCCAAAGCAGGGGCACCCGCCTCCGCTGTCCCTGTTCGCCGCTTGGCGCCACTCCTGATGCTCGTATCGCTTCTTGTTCTGCTGCTTCTCCTGCTGTTGCGACTTCTTCGGGCGCTCTCTCAGGTCCCGCTTGAAACACATTCAACTTCGAAGAAGAAACAGCCAACTCCCCAGGGTCTCCCCCTGCTGCAGTGTCCCCTTCAACAGCGACTTGGCCTGCATAATCAGAGCCTCTAGGAAAAAAGGGAGGGGCCGCTGGATTGAGAGAAGAGACAACTGCTGTGCTGTCTACGGCTGCTGCCTCTCCTACTGCTGCATCTCCTGCTGCTGTTATTCCACCTCCTCCATCTGCTACTTTTCCCGCTCCTCCATCTGATGCTAATGTTTCCCCTGCTTCTGTTGCAATTTTTGTACACACTCCCTCATCCTCACTGGATGCGAGCTGCCTTCCGCCGTCCCAAGTTTGGGTGGTCTTCGCGGTGCGGGAGATGGAGATTCCGCAAGACAGCAACAGAAACACAACAGCCAACAAAGCAACAACAGCAGCAGAAGCGACCACCCCAGTAATACCACCTACGGGCCTTCTTCGTCCTCGCGGTGGCCTCTCGTAGTCCCAATGAAGTTCCCGTTCGCGGTCATAACTGCGAACTGAGATCACCTGTTCAGGTGTAAGACCCGAGTTGTAGCCTTTCGCCGTCTCTCCCCCGCTTAACTGTACATATAAGGTGTTTGGCGTCCTCTCGGGACTTCTACCAACGGATACAGAAGCTATAGAGGGCTCCACAGCCTCAAAAAAAACCAATGGTTGCGCTTGCAGGAATAGCAGCACCAACACCAGCAGCAATAGAAAGACCCGTGTGCTTAGCCAGATACCCCTACGCCTAGCGAGGAGCCGGACAGGTGCGAGCACATTATTCATCGGATGCCTGTGTGGCGTAAGAAATAAATGGGAAAAAAGCAACAATACATTCACATAAAACCGGCGGCAGGCAAACAGGCCAACGCGTACGCCCGCCTCAAGAACTGTTGCTACTGCGCCAGCTGCAGGCTTTGCTGCTGCTGCTGCGACTTTCCCGGTCCTTCTGCAGCTGCTGATGCGGCATTTGCCGCCGCTACTGCTGGAAGAGGAGGCTCGCGAAGGCGAGGGACGGGGAGGCAGGAAGGAATCCGTCAGCAAAATGGCACTATTGTCTCATGAAACAACGGGATACAGTGAAGAGGAAAGAAGATACAGAATGTGCAAAAGAACTGAATTAAAATACGGGCTGCAAAGGGGTCGAACTAGCAATCAAACAATATCCGGCTCGACGGAAGCACCCGCCAGTGACGCATCGTAGCATGAAACACGGGCGCGGGAACGGAGAAGGTGATGAAATATGCCAATAGAGATGCTGCAATGAGTGAAATTCCGTTGGAAATAAACAAGGAAAACGAATAAAAAGGACGGAAAGGACAGAGGCAGGAGTGTGTGCCGCAAAATACGCAGCAGCAGTCGGAATCGGTACTGCTTGCAGCAGCAACTCCAGCAAC